ACAGAAAGAGTCCAGCCAGCATCCCCAACGCCAGGCTCTGCATTGGCTGTGGCTGCAGGCTCCAGGTGAGTAGCCTTGACCTGAACAGCAAGCAGCCATGCCTGGTGTGTGGGGCTCACGGGATCCTCCCCATTCCCAGGCCCAAGTCGAAGCAGCCCTGGGCGTGTGCTAAGGTCCCCTGGGCAGAACTGGGAACCAGGTCCCAACCTGTGCAGAAAGACAGACCCACAGTGCAGACGGGACTGAGCAGAGACTCGGGCTAGGGCTCGGGGAGCGTGGCCGGGCATCTCCTCTTCATGCTGTCCAAGGAGGGAGCTCCAGGTGACTGATGGGAGGGGTGCAGGGTGGTGGGCAGGGCAGAGCCCACGAGGCCCAAGGGCAGCCAGGCCTTGACCTCAGGGGGTGACACTGGAGCCAAAGTAGTTATTGCTCGCCGCTCCCCTGTCCTCATACCTGTGCTGTGCAGCCTGTGTACCAGTGAGATCTGTGCAGCTGGACCTGGGTCAGGGCAGCCCACAGGGGCCACCAGAGGCTGTTGGCAAACTGGCCGGCCAGCGGGGACCTAGGCCCCCAGGACAGATTCTCTGAGGAGGTGGTCTCCTGCAGGAGAGCGGGGCAGGGAGAGGCAGGGAGAGCAGAGGCTGGCTGCAGAGCGAGGAGTTTGTCACCAGCCCTGCAGCGGTGCTGGAAGAGGAGGGTTGAGACGAAGGGGGTTTTGGTTTCAGAAAGACACCCCCCCACCCTCCTCGCAACTGCCCAGTGAGAGGCCTGGAGGGCCTGAGTGGCCAAGTGGCCAGGCTGGAGACTGAGGTCTCATGAGGTGCCCGGGAGACCCGGGGTCTGAGAAGTAGGGCAAGCTGGACACGTGGTGACCTTCACACGTACATTCACGTGTGTGCATTCCACACTCGCTCGAGAGTGCAATTTTCTACCGGAAGGTTACGCGGTCCAAAATGCAGCTTCGAAACCCACCTTCACAAAGCCGGTGCCCAAAGACTCTGCGTCCAGCCTCGCTCTGAATTTGCCACGCTCTCAGTAACGCCTCCCTGCGACGGCAGAGTGGAGGCAGAGCAAGGCCGTTCTGATGCCAGGAGTCTGGGAGGCCACGCAAACGCTTTCCGCGGATGCCGTTCCTGCCCGTGAGCCTCCTGTAGGTCTTTCCAGAGCGGAGCCAGAGGCTCTTCCCATTTCGGGAAGCCCGAAATGGGAAGAGCTCGCCAGCTCCCCACGCTTCCTGGGGGAGGCGCTCACTTGCGGGACCTGCCCCTGCTGCACGGTCAGGGGCCACCCCGCAGTGAACGCGCGCTCTGAGCGGGGGCGGCTGGAATTAGAGGATGAACCTGGAGATGAACACACGAAGGCGCCGCCAGAGGAAAGCGGGCATCGGTGGTCTCTGATGGGGCAGCCGGCCCGAGCAGTTCCCAGGGTTGTTCAGTAGAGGAAGAGGGGAAGCGGTGTGGAAGGCGAAGCCGCTGCTTTCTGGTGTCCACCGGCTGCGGTGCGAAGACTTCTCGCCAGTCCTTCTGCGTGAATTTTGTCTTCTCACCTTTTTTGATTAATACACGTGGCCGCCACGTTCCGCTTGGCCGCCCACACACACGCGGTGGCGCCCACGGGTTCCTGGCGTCCTTCGACCTCCCAAAGGGCCGTCTGAGAATCGCGTTTTTGCTGGTGTTGAGCGGTCGCCCCTGCTGCCAGGCTGGAGGTCTCTGGCCCCTCCGCGTCTGCGTCCTGGGGGAATCGCCCGCCTGTCCTCCAGCCGCCACCTGCTCTTCTTCCGCCGGTTTTCCCTCCTTTCTGCTCCCGGCAGCCCTTCCTGCCTCCAGGCGTTCCGCTGTCACCTGCTTTGACCTCAGATGGGTCCTCTCTGGCCTGCCCAGCCTCCGGGACGTCTCTTACCTTCTCTGACATGTCCCCGCGTGTAGCAGTGACTTCTCTTCAACTAGAGACCTCAGCTCCAACTCCTGGTCTTAGTCACAGTCAGGGTGGAAGAGAGCCAGGGCACGGCGGGCATCCGGTCCAAATACATCCGGCCCGAAGGAAAGGCGGGGAGAACCTCCAGACCCTGTGGGACTGCAGAGGGCTGCAGGGGTGGGGCTGTGAACCGCAGGGAGTGGTGGCCGCGGGGAGCCCAGGGCGCTGAGCTGCCGGGTCACAGTGCCGCAGTGTGTCTCTCCCCAGGCTTCTCTGTTCTGGGAGTAGGAAGGACAGGCCTGTCCTCTGGGGACACAGTGGTGTTGTCCTCTGCCTCCCTAGCAACTTGCCTACCAGGGCAAGGAATCTGCTTGATTGGCCCCTGCTTGACCCTCACCCTACTAGGCCCCGTGGTAGGTCAGAGCCTGCCCCTTCCAGCCCCTCCCCTTGCACATCAGGGTGGGGTCCTGGGGTCCTGTGGGCGGTCCCACTTTGGGCCTCCACACGTGGGCGTCGAGGGCTCCTCTCGGTGTCAGGCAGATGTCTGTCCACGTCGGTGTTTCTGTTGGGCCTAGAACGTGGCTCTTCTGGCGCTAATGCGTGCTGGAACCTGCCGGATGCCTGCTGTACCCCACAGTTGCCCTCCTGCCTGTGTCTGGCACAGTGGTTCCACCTGCCCTCAGAAACCCTCCGCGTCTCTGGTCTCCAGCGCCGAGGAAAGCTTCCCCAGTTGTGGAAGTCTGGTCACTGCGTGGGTCTGCGAGGCTCGTGCCCCCTGCGGCACCCCTCACCAGGCCCCACGTCTGACCCACAGCGGGTGCAGGCAGGGAGGGAGGGCGGCAGGGCGGCCGAGCCCACAGGCAGCGCAGGGCTACGGGAGCAAGCCCGAGGTCTGCATGGCTTCCTCCACTTTCACAGACCGGCTCCCCCACCCCACATAAGCCCATGTGTCTGTCCAGAGAAAGTTAATCAAACACACATTTCCTGCTCGGGGGCTGGCTGTGCCGCCCGACACTGAGATTCTTGTTTGAGAGCAGGTCCCTCCCCGCTCCCAGGGCCACCCTGGGAATTCGCTGGAACAACAGTGTGGAGTGAGCCTGAGCACAGGACACGGGCGGACACAAGCCCGCAGGCTGGCAGCAGCCCAGCATCACCCCACACCCCTCCCGCAGATCCACCGTGTTCTCCCTGGACTGGGCCGGTCACAGCCCAAGGGGGCTCCGAGGGCCGGCGTCCTTGGACCCCTGCCCAGGCTTCCTCCTGCCCCTGCGTCAACCCCAGCGGATCCCCACACCCCAGCCAGCCCTCTGGGGTTCGGTGTGCCGTGTCCGCCAGGCCTAAGCTGCAGCGAGAGCTGACTGCTGGCGTGGGGTCAGGGACTTTTGCAGTCCTGAACCCTCCAGGTGCCACCTTTTCCAGATCCCTGAAAAGATGATTTGGGTTTGTTTTTTGGTTTTCGAGAGAGATTTTTGCTGTCAGGCGTGTGCGCTCACCAGAGACACAGAGAGAGACAGAGAGAGAGAAAGCATCCCCCAGAGGGGATGGCCATGCCGCCAATCCCTTCTTCTCCAATTTCCTCTGGGGATTTTTTGGCATGAACGCACATGCACCCAGTGTGTTTTAAGCTGCCATGTCTGGGACTCGAACCATGGTTGACTACGTGGGAGTCCAGTAAAGTAACTATTACGCCATAAGCTGGTCCCAAGATGATTCAGTTTTATAGGGAAAATTTGGTGAGCTTTCTCTGTTTTCATCACCTGGAATAGCCAGGCATCCACTTTCTGAAGGGCTTCACGGGTCCCACAGCCACACTGCAGCCCTACCCTCGCCCGGGAAACCCTGCCTCCCCTTCGCGCTCTCCACCTCCAGGCCGGTGGGCCACGTGCAAGCGCTCTCCCGCCCACCCACTGCAGGCTCAGGGTGGTGCAGGCACCGCCTACAGCCCACAGGGTGATTTTGGGGCCGTCTCTGGTGCCCACGCCCGGCCTTCTCTGTTTCTGGCTCCTGACCCGCCCCGCCGGTCTCTCCAAAGAGTCGACTCTCCTCCCTCCTTCCATTTCTGTCTGGTTTGTCCATCACAGCGTCTCTGTCTTCATCACCAGAAGGTGCGTGTGCTGTCACAGAGACGGGGGGGGCGGCACCCTGTGAGTCCTGGTCACGCCGCAGCCCTTCTCCTCAATGTCACCACCCTGTTGGGATTCGGGGTGAACTCCCCAGGGCCAGGGCTAGGACCCAACTGTTCTTGGTGCCAGGACTCCGCGCTGTAACCACTAGGCAGCGGCGCCAGCCTAACGTCCTCTGTGTTGTCACTGTCTCGTCCATTGTAATTGTCCCCAGTGCTGATGTTTGATGTTCTCTTTCAATAGTGCAAACCTTCAATGTGCTCACATTTTCCTTGTTTGTGTTCAATATGTATCTTGTCCTTTTATATATAACTTCTTTTCCTTTTACCAATTTCCAAGGGGTTTTGCTTTTGCTTTTCTGTTAACCGAGGGGTTGTGTATGGAAAGCAGCACGCGACCACCTCCGCCCGCAGCTGCATCCTGCCCCCCTGCCCGGTGGGGTCGTGGTTCTGCCGGCTGACCCCGGTGCACCCTCGCCTCGTCCCTGGCCTATTGGCTGGCAACTGGTCATTGGCTTCTTCGGCTTGGCTTTGAGGAAAACTGGGCAAACTGCGGTTTCAGGTGAACAGACACAGGAGGCACCCGAGGGGCTAGGAGA